CACAACAAAAAAGGAGTGCCTTGCCGTCATCTGGGAATAGTCAAAGTTTTTCCCTTCCCTCTACTGAAACCATTTGTTACGGTGTTATGGGGGTTTAACGAGGTACACAGCGACCGAGAAGATAGAAGCGGCAGCTGCAAAAGCGTAGCCAGTGAGCGAACAGCCGAGCGAGCCAGGCGATGGCAATGCGCTTCCGCATGTGTATATCTTGTTCCTCACAATAATCCCCGGTATCGAGAGGTAGCCATCCTGGCGACCTAGAGAGATGTCACAGGGTCATAATACGGCTTGAGATGGTTAATGTGGACTGTTTCTCGTTTCTGACGACGAAGGTTGGTAGATAGCGTTACGGCTTCAACCACATAATTAACAGAAGATGTCTGCGCAGCCACGCGTTAGGGTTCGTGATAGTTTGGAAGAAGCTTGGACGAAAGGCCGGGAACAGCAAGTGGCGGAACCCAATGCCCCACGAGAGAGTTGAGAGTGAATGGGTCAGGAGAGATGTAGGATTCGTGACGCTGTTATAGACAACACTGTTGGTCATGCGTGAAAGAACGGTCCAGTTGTTGGAATTTCTCGGCGTGGTGAGTCACCACAGACACAGGCTGGTAGTCGTCAACGTCTGGATGATATGGTAGAATTGTATCAACAGTGCTAGTGGGATCACGGCCGTATAGCAGGAAGAATGGTAAGAATCCCATGGTGGCTTGAGATGCGGTGCTGTAGGCGAATGTGAGAAACGGGAGAACAATATTTCAAATGCAGTGGTCTGACACAACGTACATTGACAACATGTCACACAGAGTTCGATTAAATCGTTCCGTTAATCCGTTTGTCTGTGGGTGATATGCGGCAGTGGTGCGGTGAATAATTGTGCATTCGGATAGGAGTGATTGCAACAAGTCTGAGAAAAATACACGGCTCCGATCACTGAGCAGTTCACAAGGGGCGCCGTGGCGCAGAACAAAGCTGCGTAGAATAAACGAGGAAACGTCTTTGGCTGTTGCGGCAGGTAAAGCAGCGGTTTCGTCGTATCTTGTCAAGTGATCCACGGCGACGAATATCCAGCGGTTGCCAGTTCCAGGGCATAGAAGAGGCTGGTACAAGTCAATGCCGACGCGATCATATGGGTGGGCGAGTGACCTCTTCACGAGCGAAATCTTTATTCTGTAGCAGCAGAGATGAGTTGTCAGAAGCAACAGCCAATTCCGACGTTGAAGTCGCCTGTGGATGAGAGTGGTGCGTCGCTGTGCGTAGTTTTCGCAGCTCATCAAAACTTTGGCAAAGATTGACAAGTTCAGACACTGTGGATGGGTTCTTTGCCAGCAGCATCTGAAAGGCGTCGTCTTCAATTCCTTTCAAGATATGCCTGATCTTGTCGGCATCGTTCATTGCGACATCAACGCGGTTACACTGATCGACAACGCCTTCAATGTAGCTGGTAAATGTTTCACCATTCTGCTGCCCGGCCACGCAACAGTTGCTCGACGCGAAGATTGCGAACAAAGGGGTGCCTGAATACTTCCGCCACGTGTGTTTTGAAAGCAGCCCAAGTAGGAAAGTCACGTAGGTGGTTTCCATGTCATGCGCTGGCAACGCCACTCAAATAAAATGAAACCTTCTGTACCGCTCAAGATTGGTGGGTCGACAATACCGTCGAGCAAAAGTTAGGAAAGAAACACTTCCAAACCGACTGTCTATCTCGCGAGCCCGTCAAACTGCCATACCAGGACGACCAGGATGATGAGTGCTTCTTAGGAACCATAACTGCCGATGACTTTACATAGCGACAGTGAGCCGACCGGGAACGGGGGGCCTATCGGAATACTTTGAGGGCTAGACTACCGTCGTCCCAAAAGTATTCAGGCGAGGACTGGCGTTATTTTTCCTGAAAAGGACGTCCCCGAATAGAAGAGCTTCTCTCCAGCCCGAGCCAGCCACCTAATCGTCCTACCTTCGGCAATGCGACCGGAAATTATTAGGCTCTACACGACGACCTGCCGGCTGGACATTTCAGATTTTACCGCATGCTCGTAAGACTAAAGGAAAAGTACGATTGACTGCGCCTTGCCGCCGACGTCTCTCGCTACATAAGAACGTCCCGACACTGTGAGTGACGAAAGATGCCACCCACAAGACCAGTAGGTTTCTTTCATCCATGTCGAGCCTCCTCGGCAACCATTTCAGCGGATCGCGATGGTCCTCCTAGGGCCGTTCCCAAAGTCGACTTACGGAAATAATGAAATCGTCGTAGCTACTGACCACCTCACCTACATGACCACAGCAGAGCCCTGCCTAAAGGCAGTGCCGCCAAGGTAGCCAAGCACTTCGATGAGAGCATCGTTAATCGACATGGCGCCGCAGAGGTCATCATTGCCAGATATGTACGGCGTTTACTGCTGATCTGACTCAGAACAATCATGATATACAGGCAGACAAGGCACCGCTGGATAACGGCGTATGACCTACAAACAAATCGCCTCACCGAGCGTCTAAACAAGAACATCGCCAACATGCAGGCCATTAACGCCGACGTCGAACACAAGACGTAGGACACCAACCTTCTGTACTTGAGTTTCGCATACAGTATGACCGTGCAGCAGATGGCGTGGATGACGTCATACACGTTGGTCTACAGAAAAAAACCTGGCAACGACGCTGGACGTTATGCTGTCCAATGTCGCTCACGAAGAAAACGTCGATGTCACCGTCTAACTGCGGCACTCCGAAGAAGCCAGACAACTCGTCCGCCTCCGCATATTGAACCGACAGGCGACTGGCAGACACCAATACAATCTTCCACGAAGCTTCCTAGAATACCAGCCTGGTGGCCACGTTTTGGTGTGAACATAAGTGACAGACCTTAATTCGAAAATCATGAAATGCATATCATGTAAGTCATGACTACATGCCATGCTCATGGTGCGCTCGCGGTCGTTTCACTACCTTTGCATATACCATTTTTGGTATTACGGGACGTGAATGGATGACAGAAGCTATATATATATATATATATATATATATATATATATATATATAAGACTGGGGCAAACATGATAATCGTGAGATACGTGTCATGTAAGAACAATATTACATGCCAAGCTCATGATGCGCTCGTGGCTGTTTGGCTAGCTTCACGTATAGCAAATTTTTAATATGTGACGCGAACGATGACGAAAGTAAATGACACATCCAAACATGATAATTATGACATGCCTGTTAGGTAACAATATGGCTACATGCCACACTCATCATGTGGTCGCGGCCATTTTGTTAGCTTCAAATATACGAATATTGCTACTACGCCACGTGAGTGAATAACGAAGGTAAATGACGCGTCTAAGCGTGATAACCATGACAGTTTTCGTGTGGAACATGAGTAGAGTACGCCCATAGCGTGCTTGCAGCGTTTTCGCTACCTTCATATATACTAAATTTGGTATCACGAGACGTGAATACACGACGATGGTAAATAATACGTCCAGACATTATAATCATAACATAAAAGTCATGTACGACATAATTTACAGCCGCCTCGTAACGTATTTTTGATTTTAAAGTGACTATTCAACGTTCTTCGTTCGTCCTTTCCATATAATCGATTCCCACTGTACTTGGGATCTGCCAATTTTTCGGTGCGAACTGATAGCTTATCTTTTTACGTTATTATTGTGAAATCATCTTTTGTTAAAGCATCAGGACGATAGATTTTTTTAAAGAGGTGATGCCACATTCCTTCCTTATGTTCTGCCATAGCCCCTTTTCACTGTTAGTAATTCTCAGCGCTAACCACACCAGCATGCAGTGTTCGACAAGGTTGAGGACAGTAGCAGAAGATTTCGTCAAGTGTACAACCAGTTTGCGAACATCACAGATTAATCTAACACCTACGCGGCTGCTAGTGATAAATCTACTGTATTTGATAGAAAGTGTATAAATGTCGACACAGTAAGCGCTTGTCAGTTGATCGGCAACCGACGCTCTCTTCGCTGCTATTGGTACCAGTGTTTCGGTCTTATCTGACTTTTCTTTCACCTGGCCACAACTTTAGCCAACTAAACAGTTTCATCTGACCATCGGGTCTGCTCCCTTCGTCTGCCTCACGAACCTGTGACAATTGATTTATATGTGAGGTTTAACGTCCCAAAACCACCATATGATTATAAGAGACGCCGTAGTGAAGGGCTCCAAAAATTTCCACCACCTGAGGTTCTTTAACGTGCACACAAATCTGAGCACATGCGCCTACAACATTTCCGCCTCCATCGGAAATGCAGCCACAGCAGCCGGGACTCGATCCCGCGACCTGCGGGTCAGCAGCCGAGTACCTTAACCACTAGACCACCGCGGTGGGGCCCGTGACAATATAGTATTGTTTTTCCCAAAGTGGTTTCAACAAACCTTGTTCCTCTTGGTTGAACACTTTCTAGCCATGTAGGAAACCTTTGTACAGTCCACACTCTGACCAAAAAATCCTAATTGATTTTATTCATATTTATCGACTTTTCGGTCTTGTGCAAGATAATAAACTTCTGCTCACAACCAAAGACGCTAATGCCGACGCTAAAATGTCTGTGAACAGTGCTCTTTATAGCTATTGCGTTAAGGTGACATGATGCATCTGTTCGGCTGCTCAGCCGTGGTTGTTTTCTTCCCGCTCTCTTAAATACTATAGCATGTACCCATGATGAACAGAAACAGGCTATGCCTAAAGTTCTTCAATCCAGTGAAACGGCTAATGAAGCCAAGGAACGTATAGGAGACATTATCTGAAGCGTTTTGTTGTAGTGCTATGACAATTATCCTATATACACAATATTTAAAATGAACAAAAACACCATTTTACCATTTTCCCTCTGTTTACCAGTAAAAATAGAGACAGAAACAGACCCTCCTGATCAATAAAGGGCTCACATTTGTTTACAGCCAGCATTATTCTCCGCAATGTTATTATTGTGCGCATCACTTTATATTGGTTCTTCTTTTGATTTTTCTCTCAGATATGCCTCAACGGAGAATGCGTTCCAGATAAGAGAGGGTATCGAGAACTACCCTACAAAGAATAAAAATAAATTCTGAAAGCTGAGCTCAGTTATTTTATGTCTTTGTCTTCGCGCTAACAATAAACCTACACAATGGCTGGACATATGCCACCATTGAAAGTTCTCGTACACTGATCTGTCTTACGGACGGCTAATTTTTACTATACTAGCACCATGCTGGTGTTTTCAATCGAATTATGACGGATGCGACGGTGGTTGGACGCTGTGCTTCTTGAAGATGGCTTTTACGTCGTGTATTGGACGACTCGTTCTTTTTTTGTGGACATACGCCAGAGGACCTTGCTTAACAATAGTTCTTTGTGGTAACTCTACGTTTAAAAGCCGCTTATATGCTAAATTGTCCATTTTATTGAAGAAGTTACCCGAATCATTGATTTAAGTCTAGCGTTTCCCGAGGCAGCCCTTTCAATTACGTGTTTTTCGTTGGTGAACGGAGCTGATGTGATGATATAAAAGTGCTTATGTAAAAAAGCTGAAAAGCAGCTTTATAAACTCACCACACAGTTGATACCTAACAGTTACTCAGTAGTGCGCACCTTACGGGAAGTGAAGGGTGATAATTTTAAGAATAATTAGGTTAATCGAATGGTCAAATATGCCAATGAAGGCAAGGAGGCATGAATTGGTGTTTTGAACTGCGGTTAATATCATCACATAAATTGAAGTCCATTAGGTGAAATAAAAGTGTTTCTTGCGTTGAATTGAACTTATTTTAATGCTCTTCAAGAGTATTGCGGCAAAAACATGTATCAACGTTTTCAGGTCATGTCAGTTGGAAATTTTGCCCTGAAGGCGACACAAGTTTGTAGTTTTTGTGAGTGATGACTATTACGTAACAAGCAGCATTGTCAAGTAATTTTCATGGTGTTTACTTGGAAAGTGAACCACAACGCGTGCCTAAAGATATATTGCGACATTAGTAAAATATATTTCGGGGATGTTACGTGGTGATAAAGCTGGGTCAAGTTAAGAAGTTCAAGAGAGTAAGCATACTTACCCACAGCGCGCCGTGCTGTCGAAGTGAATATGCTAAGAAGGCGAACGATCGGTAGAACATCTTCAAACTTTCAAATTTTTCTGCAGCTTTAAAAGCGTGGAAAACTGCTATTCGACAAAAGAATTTTCCAAGTGACACTGAAGACCTACAATTGAGACCTACATATTAAAGTAGAGAGCTTGATTTCTTTCTTCTGGCACATGTTTGGTGTTAACAGGGCGCATGTTCCACGTGGTCGGTGGACAATAAAGCCGCGTGCTCTTCCCCAAAATTTTCCGAACATTCCTGCACACCTGTTTAATCTAACAGCCCCAAAGCTCAACGGGAAAACTCTAATGCTGAATGGAAGAGTGAAGCATGACGATCGTGTGTCGGGAAGTGGCGGCGATGTGTGTGACGTAAACAAAGGAAACAGATACGTTGACGAAGTCGCTGGCGTTTATTACAAAAGAGGATAATATTCAGAAAAATCACTTGTTTCTTTGCTTCAATATGGAGCGCACGATAGAGTCCTGGAATGTCGATTGTATTACTATAGACTTTCTTTAAGGTATTGAAAACAGCACCATTTACATCACCAACAAATCAATAGTGCCAAGGTAATGCTTAACTCTTGACCTAAGCTCAAGGAAGAGGCTTGTTATTCTTGTATATACTGCAAACATGGTTTATATAATCACCCATAAACTCACAATAAGAAAGTATCGGCTTTTCACGGTTGCATTCATAACCTAAAATATACGTTGGCTATCAGAGCAACTTAATCTTCAGCATTTCTGCCGCAGCACATGCCCTGACGATACAAGACGTGTGGAAGAGCAAATAGTGCTTCACAATGGCTCACGAAGGATAGTGCCCACCATGCTATAACATAAAGCAAGAACAAAGCGAGAAAAAAATAAACCAAAAATTGGCCCCGAATGTGCATGTTACACTGCAAATGTCGTCGAAAGACGATAGGCTTGCGTGTGGAGGGAGGGAAAAAACAGCTATTTGAGGTTCTGAGCCCGAAAATTGGTTAATGGTATTCTGGAGGAGTGCCTCGAGCGTGCAGCGGAGGCGAAGGAGAGCATCAAGTCACGTCACACGTGAGACATGAGCGCCATCTGGCAGTTATCTTGGAAAACGAAGCGCGTGGCGCCCGTCTCAAAGATGACAAGGTATAGAACGCAAGGCAGCGGGTAGATGCCACCACCATCTCGTCTTAGCAAAGCGTTGGAAACACTCGCCTTTTCGTGCAAGCGTACCATGGTGAACGCAGCGTGATAAGCGCTACGGTCCTCACAATTACTTGTGTATGCCTTTTCTAGTTAAAGACGCACATGCAGAATATATGTGGGTTGCTACGGGGCCCCATACATGCGCAATAATAGCTTTTCAATAGACAATCGCGCAAGTAGGAACGCTAAATCTTGAGCAAATTTAGTGGGCACTGCGAATGGGACCGGTCGTTTGAAAGTGCCGGGTGCTGTTAAATGTGGACAAACAGACAAATTTACAGTTAGCCAGCCAGCCAGCCAGCCAGCCATCCAGCCAGCCAGCCAGCCAGACAGACAGACAGACAGACAGACAGACAGACAGACAGACAGACAGACAGACAGACAGGCAGACCAAAGTTTTTGCGTCAAACGTCCCCAAGAACGACGGTCGTCTTTAAAAAACGAACCAAGCTTCATTAAACATTCTGCATAACAATGGCAATTAGGCCACCAATTTTCGATAAAAAAAGTTAAGAACGCCGTTCGCGCAATAAAAACATGGTTTTCAAAAGTGTATAACAGCCAGTCAAGTGTAACTCAAGTATAGTCAAGAATAACCGCAGCCTCGCGCACTTACAACGAACCGCAACAGTCATGAATGAACGCTATTTATTACAGTTACGAAATTAATCCAATAATGAGTAGGTACTGGCGTGGTCCTTACAACTAAGTAGTATTCGCTCAGTCCCTATCAAGCTGGTTCAGCTAAAATTCATTTATGCAAATACGACCACCTTGCTGTTCTGTATGCACAAAAAGCAGACTATGCTTCTTCACCAATCCGACCTAAAGTCAATACCAACACGACCGTAGCGCCGCCACTCCGCGGGATAAGGAAAGGGGTTGCTTATCTTTGCTGCTACCGCGCGAGTTTACCAAACTTATAGAATCTAAAAATGTTGAATGTACAAGATGAAGGCAACTGCCCATGTTTTATTGATTACAATTAAAATACAAAGATAAAAGGTTATAAAGATATAAATACAGTTTCACTAGAAGAGACGAAGGGACTAGCTAATTTCAAACCTTAAGATTACGAAACAGCTAAGGAGGAAGAAAATGAAATTTATGGCAATCAAAATAAGCAAAACTATGCACGTCGCACCTACAAGGATAGCTAAAAAAACTCGGTACGATCCCGACTTGACTTGGCAGCTATGCAGTGAGCACAACTCCCTGGTCATCTAACCTCAACGATCATCATATGTCTGAATTGTGGTGGTGTGTCACAAAAGACTGCAAAAGTTGACATGATGGAGGTTGGTTTTGCACACAGTTTACCATAGTGCAAAACGCTACCGCTAGTTTTCGAAAACTATGGCTGACTGCACGGTTTCGTTGTTAATAAAAGCAAATAAGAAGTCCTATTTGAAAACAATTTTCAGAAGTAAATCTATCACTGCTCGCGTAAATGTAAGATCCAAAACAAAACATGGCTGATGGCTCTGTCTGGGCATCGATATCACGCGAAAGTGAAACATGTGTTCACAAAGCCAGCCGAGCACTCATCTTTCATGATTTTGCCAGAAGGGTGTAGGAGTGAATGCTACAGTAACAAATTGTAATGTCACGCAAACAACAGAGAGCAGCTCAATACCTGCAGCATCACATAAATCAGAAAGCAGGCACGAAAATAGCATGTACACCACGAGCGCGGACTGCAACTGTCACAACTTGATACATAGCACACTGGTCAAACAGAAAGACGCATGAAACACATACACGCACAGGACGAACGCGATGTGTCACAATTTTTTCTTTGTGTGTCAACAGCGGGCTCCTTTGGCGTGTAGTGGCGCAAGTTGTACGGCGCATAGCACGTACCACAGCAACAGCCTTACGAAAAGATTTCGGCTCGTTGGCTCTTCTGCTGAATCAGTCACCCCCAAAGGAGGCCCCGCTACGATGTCTCAAATCCTCTCGGTTTGCCTGGGCTGTCACGTGTGTAGAGGTCAAGGTCATGCCTTGGGTGCCTTTTAACGCGAATAGAGTTAAAGATTTGTCTCGCAGAAAACCACCGCCAGCGTCGGTCCCGTTGATGTGAGCGAAAAGTAGTCTGTGCATCTGTGACTGAAAAATCAAGTTACCGAGATAGCCGCGGGAGACCGCTACTAGTCCACGTGTGCGCGCGCAATCACACTGAGAAAGCCGTGCATTCGAAGAAAAAAAGAAGTGCTCAAGGTCACGAGGCGCGGTACTTTCTTTTAGCTGCCACCCCTCCTTGCTTAGCTTTCAACGCTTTCGAAGGATGAGAGAAGAGATAATGCAATCGCAGCATGCACAGACCTTCGTAACTCCACTCGCACTGGACGGATTCTTAAAATTCTGTCACTTTTGTTCTTGTTTCATTGCTCGCGCTTATGAAGGGAACGATTGGCACGGTAATTTGATGCAGTCGTCTTAACGCGGTGGGCTGCGCTTGATAAACCACTTGTTTATGACAAAGATAAGTGATCTGTACCAAATACTATGTTTTCTGATATGCTTCTGAACACAGTAGATCGCAGGGTAATACGTTCTACTTCACAGTACTATCTTTTTTTTTGCGTTCAAGCTGCACAGCAGCACACAACAGCTTTGCGGCATCACACCCCTAAAAATGCTGTCAGACACACACGCTCCATCAAAAATTCGTACTCGATCACGGGAAACATGAGGCAAGGTACACCCAGATACGACCACATACAAAAAAGAAGATAAATAAAGCACATGAAAAAGCACACGGACAGGCAAAACACCTCATGCAACAACATTGTAACACGAAGTGTCGTC